TCTCTGAAGAGGAAAGAAGGATGGCCAATAGACACATGAAGAAATGCTCAACCTCCCTAGCCATAAAAGAAATGCAAATCAAAACAACATTGAGATACTGCCTTACCCCAGTTAGAATGGCTATAATCAAGAACTCTAATAACAACAGATGCTGGAGGATGTGGACAGAAGGGAACCTTACTGCATTGTTGGTGGGAGTGTAAACTTGTTCAGCCACTTTGGAAAGTAGTATGGAGGTACATCTCTTTTTGAACAGTTACCCTCCTTGTTTTCTCCTGCTTTCCCTCCCTCCTGTGACTCCCCTCCACCCAACTTGTAGAGTTCAATTCCAATGTAATGTGTAGTGAGTATAGCTGTCGAATTGGTTCATTCTTTGTTCCACCATTTCTGTGATTCCCCTTTACTTCCTCAAATCAGATAAACTCATATATAAGACAAAGGGTACCGAAAAAAGAAACAGAGACAACAGGGAATAAACCAGAGGAGGGGGAAAAGAAAGACAAAAGAAATAACTGCAAATAATACAAAAAAGGTGGAAAACCCAAAACAACCACCAAAATAACCACGTCATGGTTATCATTTCGGTGATCATTGGTAAGGAAATGGAAATGGAAAGACCTAGAAAAAAAATCTTATTAAATGAAGTAAGCCTGACCCAAAGAAACAGAGGCTCCATGTTTTTCCTCATTTGTAATAATGAGGAAATGTCTAGGATGGTCCTAACAGAGGTTCACAATAGCTCAGTAGCTATGTACATATGATCACATAAAATGATGCTAACGGGCCCTGGGTTTTGTAGAGAGTAGTTTATGCTCTTTGTGTCTCCATTGAAATGAAAATACCTGCCCTTGCCTGGTTTTTACAAGCACTCTATTCTCAGCATAATCACTAACATGTATCCTTAAAACCTCCCAGATGAAGATTTTCTCCAGGCCTGACCTTACTCCTTGGGAGAAAATCAGGCACGTTAGAGCCATGACAAGGTTTCTTTCAGATCCTTGTGCATTATTTTAAATTCATCTGTGAAACCTATCAAAGATGAGAATAGATGCAGTTGCTCAAAGGACTCACCTACACACATAGGTCATGCAGTAGAAGAGTTTGGCTCATTAAGAATATGGAAATGTGGCCCAAACAGTTCATTTTTACTAGTGTTTCCTGGTATATAGAAAGATGCCTCCAACCTGCTGCCTGACCACGCAGGGGTAGTCTCCAGCTAGTTCTGCTCCCTCTTGTGCCCTCTCCGCCCTTCCCTAATTCTTTTTTTTGGGGGGGCGGTCCGGTCGTGGGGCCTGAACTCTGGGCCTGGGCGCTGTCCCTCAGCTCTTCAGCTCAAGGCTAGC